CCCATTTCACTAACATTCTTACCACCTCCTGTCCCGAGGGAAGGGTTCTCATGAGGGAAGATGTCACAGCAATATTCCTGTTCCACTAACCTGCTTGTCGTCCTGGCATTCTAACCAGTACAGGCCAAAACAAAAACAGATTTTTGTTTTCAGGAAACAAAAATCTACCCCTTGGCAGGGCACAGAACCACACACCAGTAATCAAAAACACACCAGTGTCTCAAAAACAGCATTCTGGGAAGCTGAAACAGGAGGACTGCAATTTTTTGGTTTTTTTAGGACTTTGATTTTGAGCCCAGTTTGGGCAATTTAGTGACTTAGTGAGACTCTGTGTCAAAATAAAAAACAGAAAAAAGTAGGTTGGAAATGTAGTTCAGTATAAAAACTCTGGGTTCAATAATCAGCCAGTTTTCTTTAGAAAAACAAGTCAAAACAAAACAACCCTATTCCTCGAGGGCCCCAAGCAGCAGCCAGTCAGATCATACACTCAGCCCTCAGCACCACCTGCGTTCACCCTTCAATCACACGGCCACTTCAGCGCACGCCAGGGCCTCCTGTGCACACACTCACCTGCGCCAGTCAGGCTCACTAAAATGGCCCCAGGCCCCCCTCTTGCACCCTTACTCTGCTTTGCTTTCACCAGCTGCACCTTTCCCTGCCGTCTGCCTCCTTTCATCCTCAGCATTTAATTGGGCTCATTTCCCTCCTAGGAGATTTAAGAAATAAACAAAATCAGATGCGGTGGCGTGTTCCTATGGTCCCAGGACTTGGGAGGCTGGGGCAGGAGAATCACTTTCAATTCAAGGCCAGCCTGGGATACACAGTGAGTTCAGGCCAGTCTGAGCTACAACAGAGAGACCCTGTCTCAAAACACGAGCCAGAAGAAAGGAGGAGGAAGAAGAGGAGAGGAAAAGAAGGGCAGGAGGGAAAAAGCAAAGGAGGGCAGGAAGGAGGGAGCAAACAAAGGAAGAAAGGAAACAAAACCTCTAGTTGTACAACTTTCTTGAAGTAGCAATTTTTTAAAAAAAAATTCTAGGGCTGGGGAATTAGCTCAGCCACATAAGTCCTTGCCTGGCAAGCTTGAGGTCATGATTTCGATTCCCAGTACCAATAAATACATATTCTCAAAGAGCTGTGACTAGTCAGGCATAGTGTCACGTACCTATAATCCCAGCACTCAGGCTGCTGAGACAGGAGAATTGTTGTAAATACCAGACCAGCCTGAACTAGGCTACACACTGACTTCAAGGCCAGCCAGGAATAAAGAATGAGATCTTGTCTCAAAAACAAGCATGCACACATGACAGCAGCCTAACACCCCATATCCTGACAGTCAGACCACACAGCTCTAGTGCAGAGCAGCCACCTCCACTCACTCCCATAGTGACCACCACAGCCCAACACAACCACACCCTCGCCCTGCAGCCTGCTCTTGCTGGTCTCCAGAGGTCTCAAGTACTAGAAGCCAGGTGGCTCAGGATGTCCCTGTCCTCCTCTCCCCCATCCCATCACTCATCAAGCCTCATGTGGCCACATCCTAAGGCTTCTCCAGATCATCAACTTTGCTCCTCCTCCTGCCACCGGCAAGGACAGGGACCACCGCCGCATCCACCCACACTCTGGCAGTGGCTTCCAGACAGGGCTCCCACCTCCTGTCTGCACATTTTTCTCCCACACCCCAGGCTCCACGCTGCAGCCCCAAGTGGCCCCTCTGGGATGGCCCATGGCCTCCGCCCTCCTGCAGACAGGAGCCCAGGCTCAGGGGTGTGGAGCTGACTGTGAAGCCCCTCATCTCACCTCGGCTGGAGGACACCCAGCAAGTTCCTGCAGCTCTGTGTCCAGCTTCCCACCTGCTGCCCGTGCTGGGAACAAACATCTCCTGGCTGCCACAGGGACTAGAGCAGATGGGGCAGGAAGGCCAAGCACCCTCTCAGTGGACTCTCTGAGATGGAAGTAGCTGGAGCTTGTCCCCTTCCTAGCACTCTCTCTGGGACCCAAGAAGTGCACTGAGCACTGACTGAGAACGGACCAGAGAGAGGGTGGGCCACCTAAGCACCTCAAAGAACTTCTGTAAAAACCCATGCTTTTATAGATAGTTACAATGAGCCTCACAATTCCTTCATACACAGCTAACCTAATCCTCAAAACCCAGTGAGGCAGACATTATCATTTCCATTTTCTTTGGGAAATGGAAGTACAGATTAGGTGAAGTGCCGGGCAAGGAGGCACAAGCCTGTAAGCCCAGCACTTGAGAGCTGAGGGAGGAGGATTGTGCCAAGGTTTCAGGCCAACTAGAGCCACACAGTAAGTTCAAGGCCAGCCTCAACTACAGTGAGACCCTGTCTCAAAAACAGACACAAACAGATGAGGTGAGTGACTGTCCCAACAACCTGTAACTCTAGTCAGGAGCACAGTCAGGATTCAAACCTTGCCAGTGTGGCAGGAGAACCTGCCATTTATTGCTATGCCATGCTACCTACAAAAGTAAAAACAGGTGAGCAAAGACAGGAACACTGTGAAGATGGAACCATTAAAGCTCATCTCCAAAGGGCTGGGGCTTTCGCTCAGTGCCACAAGTGCCTGCCTAGCAAGCACAAGGTTGAGTCTGATTCCCAGCACCAAACAAACTAACAAAAAAAAAACTCATCTCCTAGCAGAAAAAAAGGGGACTGCAAAGAAGTCGAAAAACTAAAAAAAAAAAAAAAAAAATAGTTCAAGGAGGAGTGATGTTTAAAAGCTCAGGGTGCCATATGCTAAAAAGGAGAGAACACCTGGCATCTGTTCAAATTATGTGAAACCGGGCATGGTGGCACACACCTGTAATCCCAGGATTCCTGCGAGTTCAAGGCCAGCCTGAAACTTATAGTGAAATTCTGCCTCAAAAACAGACCAAAAAAAAAAAAAATTTATGATTTTGTGAAATTGTGATTATAGTATTTTCTACATGCACTGAGTGTAAACATATAAAGCAAGTCTTTTTTACCGAGGAAATAGGTGGTTTTGTTTTAGCTATATGTTCAATAAGCTATCTTCTTTATTAAATTCTCCTTGAAAAACAAAATGGTAATGGTTTACCATTTCATATTGGTGTATTTTAAATTAACCAACAGTACTAAAGGTGGGGGGCTGTGTCAAGACCCTGGATTCAGTCTCCAGTGCTGAGCTGGAAAACAAAAAAGCCCCAGGTGATAAGAACCAAGAAAAAACGTGTTGACCTTGTACTCATCATGATCTCCAAGGAACTGAAGAGGTGCTGGCAGAGGGCAGACAGCTTAAAATAAACAAGGAAGGAAAGGGAGGCACCAGGCTCCTCCCACAGGTTTGACAGCAAAGGAGGGAAGAGCAGGAAAGAAGACAGGAAGATGCCAGACTCAAAGAACCACAGTGGCCTCTGGTTTACAAAGAATTTATGTTGTTTTAATTTCTTCAAAGTGCATACTTTTTATTTATTTTGGGGGGAGTACACTGTCCTCATGCTTGCCGCACTTATGCCGCTGAACTAAATCCTCGCCCTCCTAACATTCTTTTTTTTTTGGTCTTTTTACACAAGGTCTCACTATGCAGTTCCGACTGGCCTTGAGCTCACTTTGTAGCCCAGGTTGGTCTCGAACTTGCAACAATCCTCCTGCCTCAGCCTCCCAAGTACTGGGATTACAGGTATGCGCCAACACATCTGGCTCAAATATTTTTATTTTTTTTGAAAGGAGGACTGAACTCATGACCTTGTGTTTGCCAGGCAGGCCTTGGTGACGCTGAGCTGTATCCCCAGCCCCATATTCTTTATAGAGTAAAATACTTTCCACTAAACCACCTTAGGAGCAGGGCTCATGCTGCTCAGATCTGCTTACACCAAGTCCTGCAAACACTAACATCCTGAGCTGCAGCATTAGCAACAGGTGGGATGCTGGTCACAGGAAGACCTGGTGAGTGTAGGTAACACACTTCCTGCACAGGCCTGAGCACAGCAAGCACAGCAAGCTACCCCAGAGTCCTGCTTTTTGGGAAGTATGAGTGGTGAAACCCTGCTTTAAAATACTCTGGAACACAGAGGGAGGAGGGTCACAGATTCAGCCAGCCTGGACAACCTCAAAACTTAGAAAGACCCTCTCTCAAAATATAGTAAGTGCTGCTGGGAGCGGTGGCGCTCGCCCATCATCCCAACTCTCTAGAGGCTGAGACAGAGGCACAGGCAGAGGCACTAGGTTCGACACTAGTTTGACGATAGCCTGACTACGTAACAAGTTGAGGATAGCATACAGTGCATACGGAGATTGTCTTTTTAAAAAAAGGCTGAAACTATAAAAACTGCAAGGGCTGGCGATTCAGATCGGTATGAATGCCTCGGTTCAATCAACAGATTTCCAGGATCCACCAGGCCTGGAGTGCCGCATTTTTCAAAAAATGCAACAGATCAAAACAGCCATAAAAACTAACACAACCCCTACCACGGTGAAAACGGGGCCTGGAACAGTCTCCTCACCACACATCCCCCACAGACCTCCCTCTGCAGCTGCTTCTCTGCGCGCACTTAACCGGCCTGAACTGACTCAAACCCCAGTGGCAAGCACAACAGTCCCAAAGTGTCACACGTTATAGAAGAAAGCACACTGCCCGGCCCAGGCCTTGCCAGCTGATTTCTTCCGCCGGCCTCCGCCGCAGTCTAAGAGTTGGCAGAGCTCGATGCACCTCATGTTCCTGAGCGGGAAAACAAGTCCCCATGCAGAACCCACGGCTCGGCCAGCCAAGCAGGGGCGGCCCGGGGAGGGCCAGCAGCGAGGGCGCAGGCCTGGGACAGGCGCGGGTCGCCGAGGACCAACAACTTTCAGAATCGAGTCCTGGTGCCAGCAGGTCCTTGCCCGAGCGGAAGCGACAGAACCGACCGGCCACCGGAACAGTGGGACATCACGGCCAGAAGACAGCGTAAAGCCAGGACGCCTAGGGTCTGGGACGCCCAGGCCGCGGGACACGGAGGCCACACGGCCCCGCAGCTGGCTCCTTACCTCCCGTGCCGCGGACGCCCCGCTCAGCGACACCCTGGCGGGAGCGAGGCAAACACCACAGCCGTAGGGGGTCGTCGCGGACCGGACCGGAAAAGGGCTCACAGGACATGAGAAAGACGCGGCAGGAGAAAATAAAAGTTCCGCGAGCCCCGGGACAGCGACCTTCCGCGCTTTACGGCCGGGCAAGGGTACGGCGAGCGAGCCAGCGCGCACGCGCTGACGTCAGGCGCGGCCCGCCCCCGCCACGTGAGCTTGTTTGGGTCTCGCGAGGCCCCGCCCCCGGGCACTGGGCCTCGGCTGGCACCTGGTGGTTTAGAGGGTGGCGTGGGGACCTTGCTCCCTCGAGTCCGCGCCCGACCTTACTCCTGCTGCTTCCCCGCTGGCCGTGGCTCGGAGCCTTCGACGGCGCCCGGACAAGTCGCCTCCCGGTGGCGCAGCTGTCTTCTTCGAGGGCTGTCAGAGCCGCCAACGGAAGTGTTGGCCGCCTTTCCCGCGCTCCGAAGCCGGCCCTCTCAGCGCGAACCGCAGAACCGGGGAGCACACGCAGCTGCATTCCCTGCACCGCGGCCAGGCCATCTCTCAGGGCTCCTTCCTGAAAAGGACCTCGTCGAATGGAGACGGCACCACTGCACCTGGGGCCGTGCTCGCCAGGTCCCATTCCCTGGATCCAGCCCATCTTACCACACACGCCGCCGATCATGAGTGTTATTGATGGCTGCCTGTGCCCGGAGACTCTGCCAGGTGGTGGGTACAGCAGAGCACGGGGAAGTGAGGCTCCCTGTTCTTTGTTTTTTTTGTTTTGTTTTTGTCTTTTTCGTTTTTTATTGGTACCAGGGATTGAACTCACGACTGCCTGCTTGCAAGGCAGGAGCTTATGCCACTGGAGGCTCCCTGTTCTTAAAGAGTGACAAGAAAGCTCCAGGAAACCCAGGGTACTCACTGACCAGCAAGCTTCCCCTACCACCCGATGACCTCTGGCTGGCAGAGGACTCAGATTCTGCTCCCTACTCTTCTGATCTGTAAAAGTAAACGATGACTGGGGTCCCGTGCTAGGTGGATATGTTACCCAAAGTTTGCATCCTGCCTGTCCAAAAAAAAAGAGGCTGACCCAGAACAGACGTTCTTGGGGGAACCCTTCCTGATATTCAGATGTGGCAGTTTCCAAAGAAAAAGTGCCAGGGGGCTGGGGATTTAGCTCAGCGGCATAAGCGCCTGCCTCAAAAGCAGGCAGTCGTGAGATCGATCCCTGGTACTGGTAAAAACGAAAAAGCCAAAAAAAAAAAGAAAGAAAAAGTGCCAGGTTTTCTCCATGAGCCACCCAGCTCAAACCATTTCTGGGCATGTGAGTGTGGGGGAAAACCTAGGGGTCCACAGGGCCTCTGGAGGAAATGAGGTGATAAGCAGTGTTCATCCCATATGGTTTCAATGCATAGAGTACAAAAGCTGATAGAGCTCAACTCCCTCCCCACATCAGCATTCCTGGTTCTCTAAAATGCTACCTCCAAAGCCTTTTGCATTCCATTGATGACATTGTGCTTCTGGATTGCCCATCCCCATGGTATAAACATATACTAGAAAGTTGAATGTTTTTATGGTTCTTTTGGCTTCTCTTTTTCCATTAAGTTTCAGGGTTGTTTCTTGAGTGATTGATTTCTGTGTGGTAAGCACACCTCAAAGGATCACATACTTGGGCAACCGACTTGGGGCCCCTTCTGTCTCTCTCAGATAGAAGCTTTCTCTCGCTCAATAAATATTTTTGCTCTTAACCTCTGTTGTTCCTAAAATTAATTCTTCTATTCTGGAGAACACGAACTAATTCTGGACATACGGTAGGATGGGAGTTTCATTCCCCTATATAGTTTGGAGGTCTTCCACTGGGATCACTGGATGGTGGTAAGAGTTTGTCTTTCATTGCATGAACTCTAGACTGGGAGTCATTTAGGTAACAAATTTTTATGCTTCAAATTTTGCTTTGCTTTGTCAGTTGCTTATAATTACTTGTGATAATTGCTTGCAACTTGCCCATTGTTTTAATTGCCTTGTCTCTTAAAATAATGAAAGATATCAAGTTATAATGAAAGTTATAAGATATTTCTCCAGTGGTAAATTTTTATTATTTTGTTCTTGTATGTGTTAAATTTAAATAGAATAATATTAGAACATCTCTAGCAGACTTTACTATAAAATGAGTCTTAACTGAAATCTAGCTCATACTTAGAAAATGTACATGCCTATGGTAAAAGCAGGACTCCTTCCACTTTAAGCAGCACTAGGCTGGTAGCGGGTGTCCAAGACTTGGAGGACAGGTTTCACTGAAACAGACTGGCTCTGATCTCCTCTTTATGCTAGAGGAAATGTCAAGCCTGTTCTGCTTCAGTTTCCTTCCTTTGACTTTACCTCTACTCATTTCCCACTTTCTACTTTCCTTATAGAAGCGTGTGAAGTCACAAAAAACTCAACTATTCAAACCTTTTCCTTCTTAGTTAAGCCCATAAAAAAAATGAGTGTTTGATAACACCGAATAAAGGAAAATCATCTTAGATGAGGGACACATACTCGGTCTCTGGGTCAGATAAGACATCAGAATTGTGCACATCCAGAAGCACATACATAAAAGCTATGTCCCAGCTTAATGTTTTAGATCACATCTGTTTTAGAGATGGAACCTGAGACACAGCGGGAAGAACCGGCTTCCATGTGACAATGGAAGAAGCTGTCCCCAAAAGCAGCACACATATGGGACTTAAATACATTTAGAATAAGGAGGCTCACCAAACTTTCAAGTTGTGGACTTTAAGAACTTTATTGTAAATTCATAGAGCAGTAGGTAATGTTCTTATCAGGCTTTTAACTACCCCTTATAGAATTTTGACACACAGTGGTTACTCTGCTAGCTAATTAATCACTCTTATAGAAGCTGCCACCCTTAAAAGCAGAGAACAGGTTCCCCAGCATCTGTTTGGTGAATCCCCATTGAAGCCAGTGGCCAATGGAGTCAGTAGAATGTTGACCAGACACACAGCTGGATTCCTTTGTGGAGACTGATCTCTGGTTATCTGGGCCAATAGAAACTGAAACAACTGAGGGTTACTGGCCAGGGCAACGCTCTGGTGGACACCCGTGACCACTGAAAATCTCCACTTATCTATCATCTTTATTTCTCTGTTAGTACACTAGGAACTTTCACTAAGCTTTTCAGTGGATCTTCAGATTCCCCAGATTACTCCTCAGATTCAGAGATAAAGCTGAGGAAGTTTGCAACAATTGTTTACATTCCATAGCAGCTAGTAGGGGAAGGATTTGCATTTGTTAATTAAGAGGAGTTAGTCTTTTCTTTATGTGTGCCTAGGAGACTGATGTACCTTTATTAACATATAAAATTTGATTGCTATATAATTTATAAGTTTAAACTGTGAACTTCAAAGGTATTGAGATTTAAAGCATAGCCATGTCGCTCTACTAGGAAAGATTAAAAAAAAAAGCATTGGGGCTGGGGATTTAGCTTAGTGGCATTAACGCCTGCCTTGCAAGCAGGCAGTCATGAGTTCAATCCCTGGTACCGAGTAAAAAAAAAAAAAAAGGATCACATACTTGCATGGGTAATTTTTCTGGTGAGATTTGGGTGCATTTAACGTTTTGTCCTTTACAAATACCTTTTGCCTTCTTGCTTTTCTCTCAGAGAGAGAGAGAGAAGAGATGCTGGGGGAAAGAAATATTTGTAGCATCTGTTTCCACAATCATATGCTAGGATCCCCTTTGCACATGAGGAAGTGCAGTTTGGAGCGCCATTCTCGAAGTCTGGGACTAGTCCCTTGTAGGCTAGGATGTCAGGTGGTAGATATGGAGAGGAAGCATGATGACAAAAAGAAAGTCCAGCTGAAGTGTGAGTTGCCTTCCCTCCACATGGTCTCGCATTCCTCAGGACAGAGGGTGTGGGTAGAAAGTCGGGCAGCTCCTGTCAGTGAGGGCTTTTCTAGCAGCAGAAAATGCCGCCTCAGCCAGTCCATTGCCCAGGTAGCAGTTCCTGTTGTAAATTCCTGTTACTTCTCCTGGAAAGGGCTGGTTGCTGTGCTGCATATCGCAACAACCAATCAAAGACAGCCAAGAACTCTATCTCTGTATTTCCCCTTTCAACTACATAAAAATCTTCCTCTTGGAGCCTTCAGGGCTTGATATTTTGGGACTGACCTTGAACAGTGCCTGTGGACTTCAAAGATCTGTCTCCAAATCCTGGTTGTCGCTTCCATGTTTCTGTTGCTGTAGCACTGGGATGTGTAAAATGCCACTGTAATGATGATAATGTCCTGTAATTCATTTGTGTTTGTAAGCGTGTAGTTCTGTTGAAGCCCTCTCTGTTCCTATGCAGGTCATCCTAAAGGCACTCTAGGCACTTGACTATTTGAGATCTTTCCTCAAGAGCCAAATTGGTTTGACACAAAGAGTAATCAAGGATTTCTGTTCTCTGAAAATTCAGGATTATGCACTATATTTCAAGGGGTTCTGAAGATGACGGCTTGTTGAGTAGCAGACAGAGAGCCTTTCTGAGAAAAACAACTCAGACTCTAGAATTTAACACCATGGAGAAGACCAGACAAAAGGATAAGGATTCTCATGACCCAGGAAGAAACTGAGGAAAAAGAAAAAGAAAAAAAAGGAAAAAAAAATGTGGACTAAAGGCTGGAACCAGATGCTTTCACTGGGGGTGGTCCCACGCTGTGCTGGGTGCACCTTGGAATCAGAGGACTCGTGGTCCACTGAAGTTCCAGCTGTCGGAGTTGGAAGTTGGTGAGCCCAGGGCCCTTGGTGGGTGGATGCGGCACAACAGAGAATGCAACCAACATGGAGAGCTGCATTAACCTGTGAGGAGTGCTAGGAATTGGGTCCCACGGAGCGGGTGGTGACCATCTGGACAGCATATTGGAATTGGGCAGGAAGGACCTGAACCCGGAACTGCAGTGGTGTCAGTCAGCAACCCCAAAGAGGACTGGTGGGATCTGCTTGGGCTGGGTCATGCCCCTGGTCAGAACCCAATAGCCAGGGACGAAACTGTCCCAAACCTGTGACATCCACACAACACAAACTAACATGCTGAGGACACTCACCTGTTGACTTTCAAAACTTGAAGATAGATTTGCAATATGTGATTGTGAAAGAAGAGATCTCTTAAAAATAACAAGCAAGGGGCTGGGGATTTAGCTCGGTGACA